AGAAACCATATGGGAGTTTAGAACCTTTACCTGTACCCATGGGTAAATGGGAATACATCACCATTGATTTTGTCACTAAACTACCCAGAACGAAGGACGGTCACGACATGATTTGGGTGGTCGTTGATCGATTCACTAAGAGTGCACACTTCATAGCAGCCAATGAAAAATGGTCTATGGATAAGCTTGCAAATGCTTACGTGAAGGAGGTAGTAAGACTTCACGGTGTTCCTTTAACGATTGTATCAGAACGTGATAGTCGTTTCACGTCAAGGTTTTGGAGGAGTCTACAATAGGAATTGGGTACAAAGTTGTGTTGAAGTACAACCTACCATCCGCGAACCGATGGTCAGAGCGAAAGGACGATTCAAACACTGGAAGATATGCTAAGATCATGTACCCTGGAATTCCAAGGTAACTGGGATGTGCACTTACCTCTGGTAGAATTTTCCTACAACAATAGTTACCATTCGAGCATCAAGATGACACCTTACCAAGCTTTGTGTGGACATAAGTGTCGTACGCCGTCATGTTGGATTGAAGCTGGAGAAAAGCAGTTTATGGACCCCGAGATAGTCTATCAGACTGCTGAAAAGATGAAATTGATTAGAGAAAGGATGTTAGCAGCTCAGGATCGTCAAAAGAGTTATCCTGACAAGAAGAGACGACTGATGACATTCGAAGTTGGAGATCCAGTTTTGCTTAAAGTCTCACCTTGGAAGGGACTTATAAGATTTGGGAAAAGAGGAAACTTGAGTCCAAGGTTCATTGGACCGTTCAAAGTTCTTCAGATGATTGGGAACCAACCTTACAAGCTAGAACTACCAGAAGAATTAGATGGTATTCATAACAATTTCCATGTGTGTTATTTGAGGAAGTTCACGGGAGAAGTTCCCGGCATAATTCCAATTTCAGAGTTGAGGATGGATGAAATAAGAGGTTAATCGAAGAGCCAGAGGCGATTATTGACCGTAAGACTAAGAAGTTGCGACGCAAGATGGTCGACTTAGTGCTTGTGCAATGGAAACATACGAATGGGACAAACCTCACCTGGGAAACGGAGAGCGACACGATGAGTCGCTACCCGCATATGTTTGCTGATGCATGATTCCGGGACGGAATCATCCTAAGGGGGAGAGAATTGTAACGCCCGTGTTTCGAGGCTAAGCATTGATAGGATGTTTTAATAGTTAGGGTAAACAAATTTAACTTATATTTAAGTAATAAAGAGGAATTACTTGAGTATTATGGGAATTATGTGAATTTATGTGCTTTAAACTTGTTTATAATGATATAATAAATTAAGAATAAAAGAAAGCATCAAAAATAATGTTAGATAAACCCAATATCTATGAAGAAAGTTGTAGTGGTCGTGACAAGGATTCCAGAGATATAAAGAACACCGAAATCCGAGTTATAACGAAGAAGTTATGACATGTCGAAGTTTCGCGACAAAACCGACACGACGCTGTGTGACGTAAAAAGTGAGTTTAAAATAAAGTGTTTTTTAGCCTTAGCGATCTAAATGAATGTCGTAGTATACATTAAACCGAGAGCGTGCATAAAAAGAACGTCCAAATCTGACTTCGTATGAGGAAGTTATGAATTTTCTAAGATTTGGCATAGCAGTGTGCAGTCCGGAGTTCGAATTTTAGATCGAGCGATTTTTAGCCGACACAACCTAAATGAGAATTGAATATCTCATTAATATGATTTCAACGATAAAAAGACAGTCGATAACGGAGTCCGTATGTAGAAGTTATGGATTTTACACGGTCGTTAAACAGTGTAATCTTCTCATACTGTTAAATTTATAATCGGTCGAGAATTAGCCAATGGAGTCAAATGGAGAGTTGTAGATCTTGTCAATACCTACGCGTGGATATTAAGAACGTCGAAAATGGAGCTCGTATGCGAAAGTTACGGGGTTTAGAAGTCGGAAGGGTGTTGCAGCGAAGGGGTGACGTGGTGCAATCTGAGCCATTGCTTTCTCCCCACCAGATGACGAAACGTGGCACCAAATCGAAGATTATACCAGAAACTCGATGACTTTAGGGGCCAGAAACTCGACGAGTTGGGCCAGAACTCGACGAGTTCATCACTTTTTCAGCTTATAAATACCACCCGAGAGTTCCTTCATTTTTCACACCATTAGCCATCTATTTCTCTCTCTACTCACTCTCTAAACCTCCCAAAACACCCCAAAAGCCTAGGAAACTTCCCTAGCACTTGAAGAAAGCCCCGGAGTGCCTGGAGGCTCCGAGAAAAAGAGTTTTTTGGTTCAGAAACTCTACCCCCGCAGAGCCCGGTTTTCAAGCAAACCTCCCGGTTTCGTTGAACCGAAACGGTGTCCAAGTTGGAATCACCACCTTATCAAGTGAGTGCATAGTTATTTTCATCTTACACATAGATATGAAGTACCTTATATAAATTACGTGCTATGTGTGCATATTATCTGTTTACTTGAGATCTATGCTGGATGAAAGATTTAAACATTTATTTTTCACATCTAAATTGTATATGTAATTTATATCTACAAATATGTTGGGTAAAACATGGGTAGATGAAATAGTTGGTGTATGATGAAATAAAATGAAGAGAAGCCTCGATGTTGACGATGTTCCAGTCATCTAGCGGAGTATACATGACGACCACGAACTATTCTAGACAGTCTAGTGGAACGCTAGCAGGCTCGCAACCTGTAGGTGTTTGTGAACGATGTGTTCACCGGTGTACTCCATCCCCCTCATGGTTGCCTTACGAAAATTTATTGTTGAGTAACCCCCTTAGCAGAAGTGTCCATCCCGGTGAAATTCCTTAGGATAGGTCCCTTATGATAGATGTTTTAGGGATGTAAAGCGAGAATAACGTGAACAGGTAATCGGGTTGATTTATTTGATGAAGTTAATTAACTTAAGTATTGTGGGTTGAAAACCCTATGTGCTCACCAAGCTCCCCAACCTGACACACTCAGTTTTTGTATTACAGGTAGTGACACAAGAGCATAGATGCGATGAATCGATGAGAGAATATGGATTATTGGCTAGTATAAATAAATAGAATGTTGTAAGGCCTATGAGGCGTATTTTGTTTTGTGGCCTATGCTTTTTTGTTTATGCTTTTGATCTGTATTGACAATGACATCCCGGGGTTTGTAATGTAATGAAAACACATTTCTTCGGAAATGCTTTGATAAAATCTTTATCATATTTTATTTTGGGAACAAATTCCGCAACATTTTTCTTTATAAGTATACTCTGATTTTCAAATAAAGCATAAACAAATCGGTCTTTTCTGGCCTTGAAATTGGGGATGTCACAGTTAAACACTTCTTCTCTTTGGTGCTTGTTTTCTTTCCAAACTTTGCAAGAAGAACCTTGGTGGGCATAAACTTGGTTTATGTTTATTCTAATTTTAAAGTCTTCTGTTGCTAAATCTTATGTAGTTGAAACTGATTTTTGAATAAAATCTCAACTATAGGTATCAGAGCCACCTTGCAAGTTTGGTTAGATTTTTTGATTTTTGGAAATCTTAGTTTTTGGAGTATATGGATAACTTGATTTTGTATAAAAACAAGTTCATACATATTTTCAATGACAACTTTATAATTATTATTTTATGTGACAAAAGTTTTCATGCATCATTTGTCATTTAAAGTTGTCTTAGAGAAACAAATGTTATTTAATGTGTATGTTGATATGTATGATGTGCATAAACTAGCGAATGACCATTGTGTTTGTTGTGTTGGTTGTTTATAAAAATGGTTGTAATAATTTATTTATTCATATGGTATGTAATAAATTAAATATATTAGTTTTATTGGTTTATTTTTGTAAGTAATAGATTAGTTTTTAGAGATAATTTATTTGTACAAAAATGTAACAACAAATGAAGTTGGAGCCATTTTTGAAGACCAAAGAGCAATTTCCGTGATTCAAAAACTTGCTGAAAGTTAGTGACAATTTCGGAGAAGTGTCACTAATACTGTTTCTCAAGGGCTGTTGGACTTTTAGCGACAGTTGGTGAAATATTGTTTTCAAGAAGCTTTTCCAGTCTTTTGCAAGCAATAAGTGTTTTATCAAGTGGGAGCTTCTACAACAACATTACAAGAAGATTTTTGGTCCCTTAAAATGCCCCTATAGAAATGGACTTGACATTTTTTGTGTTGGTTCACAAAAAAATGTCATTAGTTAGCTATATTTATGCATATATAATTTTATGCATGTTGTGTTGTTTATTTTAAGTAATTATTATGTGTGGTTGATAAATTAGTTTTTCACATGCTAAAATAATTTTGGATAAAATAAACATCACATTGAGTTTTTTTTCAAAATTTATAATGTGGACATAAGATTTTAACAAGTTATTGGTTTAAAATAAAATCTGGTTTTATAAAAATGTTAATAACGTCAAATTTTGAAATGTTTAAATATAAGTTTTAAAATGGTGATTTTTATAACTTATACAAACTCCATATGTAAGTAATAGATTGAAGTTTATTAAAAATATAAAATGTTCAAATGCACTCAAAATTAATATGAGTTGTTAAAATTGAATCGTGTATATATGTTATATCGTGTTGGTATATTTTACATATCAACGATTATTGATGAGTGGCAAAATTTCATTACTTAATAAAAAATTAGCTTAGATGTTATTATTTTTGTTATTGGCATATAGAACATGTGCATATGCAAGTGATGATGCCAAAAAGAATATATAGCTTCATAGTTGTGGCATTAAAACTTAAGATCATCACTTTTACATTTCTATTATAGCAATTTTGTGTTGTAAAACTCGGGTCCTCTCTTTTTATATATTCATGGGATTCAGTAGTTCGTTATTTTCTTAGCTCTGTTGATGATATTATTGGCAAAGGGAATCATATTAAACAAGTTAATTGGCTTATGTCTATACTTATTTCAGAATTTTCGTTGAAATACTTGGAAACATATGGTAAAATGAAAATAATAAAATGCAATGCGTGTATAACAAACAAACACAACTAAAAATAAATCTTTTATAGTAGATTGTTGCCTCATATAATCCATCAACCTTCAAATTTACATGTCTCATCTTACTTTCATGACCCCATTTGATTTAAACGAAGCAAACTACATCAAATTCGCAAACTGTGGTTTGATCAATCACACGTTTTTGTGCAAATAATCATTTCTAGATTATGCTGCAAAACTTTGATGAAATAAGAAAAGTTTGTAACTCTATCAAGTGCTATTTAAAGTGGTATGTATCTAAGAAGATTGAACTGCTAGCCTTTGTAGATGTTCAAGGAATACTTGAAGATTTACATCATCAGTGAAGATAACATCCATTCCAGCACCCACTTCACTATTGTAAGTTGCTGAAGGGTTCAACTTGGCCAATAAGAATCGTGCCTGATTAATTACCATATAATATAACATTTTTTTTAATAATTTAATACAATGTAAAAAGGTAAAAAAAAACAAAATATAAGATGATGATATTTAATGAGATGACCTGAGAACCATGTTGATCACACACCACCAATCGTGGGACAGGAAATCGATCACGTATTATCAATTCAGCATCATCACGTGGAGCTTGTAATAATTGTGAAAATGCCTAAAAAATTATGAAAATAGATATAAATATTGAATTCTTTAGAATTTATGTGGGTTGTGATCGTAACCAATTTTGTAAACAATGAAGAACGAAATCAATAAAGCTGGTTAAGGATGACAAACTTTTAAAGGCTATTTTTTATAATTCGGATGAAAATGACATTTCGTAAAAAAAATATTTTCTCTCATCGAAAATGTATACACCAACCAACTTTAATTTTTTTATACTTTATTACTCACCGACCTTTCTATATATATTATATATATATAGAGAGAGAGAGAGTTATTTCAATTTCTAAAAGGGGTAATCTCAAAAAGACCTTAAATTTAGTGTTTTTTCTAAATTAAACCTCAATTTTATTTTTTATCTAAAAAGGACCTTATATATTTTCATTTTTTCGGTCTGGTCCTTTTCATCATTTTTTTCCAAAAAAAAAAATTGTAAAAATTTGAAGGTTTTTTCAAGAGAAACTAAAAAAGTTGAGGGTTTATTTGGAAGCAATAAGAAGGTTGAGGGTTTTTTCGGAGAAAAATATAAAAAAAATGAAAAAATACAATGTCTTTTTCAAGCAAAAAATAAACTTGATGTTTAATCTGGAAAAAACACTAAATATAAAGTTTTTTTTAGATTAACCATTTCTAAAACATAAACAATAATAATAAATAATATTAATAATAATAATAATAACAACAACAAACAACAAACAACGAGTTCGTAACGAAAATGAAAAGAAATAAACCAAGCTACAAACATACGCACCAAATACAAAACAAGCTAACAAACTAAGAGATAAAATATAAAATCAGGAATTTTGGGATTGCATACAATACTTTTTTTTTAAAATAAAATCATTAATTTTGGTTGGCATGTGTGAAGTGGAAAGAAAGAATGAGCACGAGATATATACCTGGTGTTCTGGTTGATTTTGATAGCCCATGTTCCTCCATTGAGCAACAGTGATTCCATGGAAAATAACAACACTGAAATACGAATCTAACAAAAGGATTCGATCAGCTGAAATGGATGCCACATCAAGCAAAGCAGGTGAAGGCAACGAATTGAATGAATACGAGATCAAAGAAGGTTGGATCATCACTGTCGCATTTGTTATGCTTTCCCGATTTAGCATCATGCGGAAATAAGCTGTCTCATCTGGACTGTTATTAAACACCTTCATTCACATTTCATTCCAATAATCAAAATTATATTATATTTAATGTTTGCTTATTGTAATATCTAATAAATCAAGAACTAATTACCTGTACGAATGGAGATCTCCTGAGATTGAACATAAATTGAGGGAACAAAGAAAAATTAGGGTTTAAGGAAAATGAAGTCGGATCATCTTTTCTGTAGTCGCCAAATCTAGAACACAAACGAATCAGATTTCTATCTAACCACCTTGTTGCATCGAATGTTTCCTAACAAAATTATAAAAACGTAAGAAAAAACTATTCCCTATAACAATTGAATTATAATTTATAATTTATAATTTATATACCTCTGTTTCCATTTTATAAGAAGTTAATCTAGCCATTACTACAGCAGCAGTCTCTTGATCAAAACCTTGCATTAATTCCTGTAAACGAGGTATTTTGTTTTTTACACAATAAACAAAAGTAAAAATAATTTAAATATTTAATAATACCTCTGAAACTGCTGAACCCTCTATCCATCTTCTAGTAATGGTAGTAACTCGTAGCTTTGATTGTCCATCAATACTTTGGTAGCTGAATCAATTTTCATGACTCATTAATTTCAATAAATATCAGTTTACTTTTAAGAAACTATTCAGTTATAGCAATTTTCATTAGTGTAATAAGGTAGATTTTTCTAAATACAATGTCTAATTTATACCTTGTAAGTGTTTGTATATACAATTGTGGATTTAAGTTTCCTGAATGATCTGGTTTATCACTTGAAGAAATGTCAAATAAAACAGTCAAACATGTGTCGTTATCAAGTCCACATAACTTCCATGCATTAGTGTTCCCTTGACCAATTGTTGTGCTTGCAACAGCAGGTCCTTTCTGCATTTTTTTTAAAAATGTTACAACATTTTTAATAATATTATTAAAAGTTATAAGATTTAGTAAACCAATACCTTCTCAAGGGATGTGCAAGGTCCAATAATCCCTTGAATTTTTTATATCTTTTGAACAGTTCATCTCAAGTGTGCCACTACAAGTAATAAACTAGTTATGAATTCAAAAAGATAGAAAAAATTTGTCCTTTACTTATCTTGACAAAAGTTATCTGATAATAAACTATTTGCAAATGAATATATATAATTTCCAACTTAAAAAGATTAATGGTGTAGACATAAAACATGCGTGAAATACTCACTTATAAGAAAGACCAAGAGAATCTTCTCTGTTTTCAAAAACACGTTTAAATGAATCTTTAAAAACCGAATGACCAAAACTTTCTGATAGAACAACAAGGCCTCCAGTTCTTTCAATAATAACCTTCATCTCCGCAACCCCAACCTAATAACATAAATTGCATTAGATGCCAAAGGATATGACCAAAAAATTACATCTTTAATGTGGATAAGTTTTTTATAGAATTAAGGAAACGTTTCTTGCATCCGTGTAAAGACTAAGATGATGTTTCTTTTTGACTTAATGGACTTAATGGGGACAAAAGGATAGTTATATAGATAGAAGTGTTTCTTTGTTGAGTTGTTTTTTTTCTATATTAAGTCAAAAACAAACACCAAACACCAAATACCAAAACAAAACAACTGTTCTTTCTACCTGATCTAGTGCAGAAGCAAAAAGGTCCAAAACATGACCCTGGCTAACCATCTGCTTTGAAAGTTCCTCATAAAAATTGACTGCCTTTCTAAAGTATAATGCTGAATCTTTGTCTAAATCTTTATGTGATCGAACTGGATCAGATAAATCTTGTGAGACAATCTGTCAAAATCCAAAATGCGACAAAAGGTTAAGATCTTGTGAGAAAAAAAATGGCAAGAGAAACCATCCACTTGCGTGAAATGTAAAAACAGAGTTTATTATTGTGCATCAATGGCGTATTTGCAATCTGAAGAAAAGAAAAAAAAGTAGCAGAACTTACAGAACCATTGCCTTCTGTGCATGGCCCACCAACCAGAGCCACTATACGACCACCAGTACCAGGCGAACAAGCACAAATCAAACCTGCTGCAACACTCAATGCGACACCAGTGCATCTCAACGATCGATTACCAGGTGCAACAGGCCATAAATCGACATCCAATTCTTCTAATCGCTAAATTATGACTTTTCGTAAGTATGGAGGAACATAGCTGTTGAAATTTGAATATAATTTAGATTATACTCACCGAATGGATGATGTAGGCGCCCTCGGAAGCAGGCAACAAAAACCTGGAAACCCCTGAATTTGGAAACCCTTGTCCTTGTACTACCCCCTTTTGAAAACCCGGCCCACCACCCATTCTCCGGCCATTGGCAACACCGGCGAGGAGTCCTAGTTGATCCAGTACATCCTCTCTAGTCATCTCTTTGGAGCCTTGAAACACATAAACCTTGGAGATATCAGCGTAACCCAATTCATGGACCTGAACCTGCGTCCCGAAGGAAACAAAACCCACCAAAGCATTTTCCGGTATGAATTCAAGTGCTTGTTGTAATGCCAATTTGGCATACTTTAATTCCTCCTCGATCATACACGTGTCGAGGACGAATACGTAGACGGGTTGAGGAGGGTTAAGACGGGTGTCAGGATTGGGGACGGCGTATTCGACGGTGGTGTATTGGGGGTAGAGTTCTGCGGGGACATTGGTTTCGGAAATACCGGAGTAGTGGTGGGGGAAGTGGTTGCGTTGAAAGCAGAATGGGCAGATCCAAATCAGGGCCGAGAAGTCGACACGGCAGAAAGGGTTGAGAACGGCGGAGCAGGTCTTGCATCGGAGAGGCGCGTAAGGATTGTTGGGTATGTGTGGATGAGGACGGATCGGAGAAATCGAAGCGGCGATTGGAATGACGCACTTGCTTGCTTCAACTTTTGTGCGAGGCCAGGCGTTCCATGTCATACGAACACCATCGATTCCCTCTGGATCTGTGTTAGCCATTTCCGTCGACATCTTCAATTCTCTCTACAATCTCAACCTTTTTTTCCTAATGATTGATAAACTGAATTCTGACGACCCCTTTAGGAAGAACAGAGAAGAGGGGTCATCAAATCAGGTGAATCGAGGCTCAAATGCACATCGATTTGTAGGATGGTGTTTTTTCAATTGAATTTGAACCAATGGATGAAACAGCTTCTTTTGGTTCATTTTGGAAAGAATCATATCATCTCCACGATTGAGATAACATGCCGGATTGGTAGGATGTGAGAGACAAGTATCCATGTCTCTCGTAACATTCTCAATTTCATTCATGTTCCTTTGATCGTTCATTTGTTTATATTGATTAAAGGTGACATTTCAATGACAAATAATCCTGGGTGGCCAAAGACGTATCTGCATGGAGGGGTATTTCTAAAAGTGGTTTTTTTATTAATTAAAAACATGCTTTGAATTTTTTTGTTATTAAAATAGGCCGATATATGCATGTTTTACAAGATAAAATAATATAACTTAAATATTGATAAATATGTATGATAAAAATAACTATATGGTTATTATTAATTTCAAAGAAACATGAATATTATAAACTGTGCACGAAACAGAGAGTGAACAATTTTCATTTAACTAAATCGGACACGCTATGGAATTTCAATTCATTAATTGTGTTCCACAAACCAAACACAATCATTAATTTATTTTTAAGCAAGCTCCTACAAAAAAAAAAAAAATTACTTGTCTGTTGTTATTGTTACAATCAATTGCGATTGATTCCAGACTCTATTTTGTCATCATTTATGGCCTTTTGTTATGATTGATAGGAAAAAAAAAATTGTAATATTTTGTCCCACCTAATAAAGTTGTTCTCAATTTGTCCGTTTGTACTAAAGATGTAAATGTAAATGCCATCCTCCAGATTATAAAATTACGAAGAGATACTCCAGTTTTAAGCTCAACAATTATCTTAAATGCGTTTTCACATCCTGTTTCCTATAAAAATAAAATTTATACATGCATGAAAGTGGTATTATGATAAAATTACATACTATGCATCCTTGTGTCTATTATTCAAGTTATTCGTAGGAAAATGTTAAAAAAGTTAAAATTAAATCACTATCATCTAAATTCATAAAATATACCAGGTCCTTTGGAGCATCTACTTAATTATAACAATGTTATTTAAATAGTTCTTTTTAATCTATGATGTCCAAATAAGAAAAGGAATTATAAGTAGGATATTATAATGTTTACGGAGGGGTAAATGCGAAAAACTACATAATTTCATTTATTTGTGTGTTATTATAGTATCTAATGTGTAGAAAAAATGAAGTTTCAAAATACTTGAGAAAAATGATGGCACGTTTAAGAAAATGGTGTTACTAAATAAACACTTCATAAACACCCTAATCATTAAAGTTAAATTATTTTTAGCATTAAATACATTGAACTTTATTTGAGAGTGTGTTTTATAAGCCTATATATCCTACTACAAAACAAACACTAACTCACATTTTCGTTTTTTAATATTTATTCCCTATATTGTTTTATTATATTTTTTCTTTTTCATTTTATGTTTTAAAATTATCATTTATTTTTTTTCACATTGTTTCAACAATCAAAATTTTTATAATACTTTACATATATTTCAACATTACATATAGTTTGTCTAAAACTATCTTATTTTCCAAAGAAATATTATTATTATTATTATTATTAATATTATTATAAAATGATGTTTAGTATACCTTTTATCTAATAAGAAACATATGTTTATATTATACACCTTTAAATAATAAAAATAGTTAATAGGCAATATACACCAATAAATCTCAAATATAATTTTATGATAAGTAAGAATAGAAACAATTTATATAATGACGTATGAATGGTTTGTTTTAATAATAAATTTTAATAATAGATTTATTAAAATATAACAATTATATCCTTTGAAATATAACGTTTCTATTTATGATAATATAAAAATAGTTAATAAGCAAAAAAATAACAATAAATCTTAAATACAGTTATATAATACGTAGGAATAATTTTTTTTTAGAATGATGCTAATATGGATGGATGATTTGTTTTAATAATAAATTCTAATATGAGATTTATTATCTAGAATGTACTATAATTATAGCTTTTAAAATATAGTATTTATATTTATAATATCAAGGGATATAACTAGATGTGACTAAATATAAACAGACCAATTATTGCTTAATTATTAGGAGGGTTGTTTTTTTAGTAGAATGTGGTGTGAAGTTTATTTAGCCATTCCCTTAAGAAAGCCTTTTTCCTAGAGTTTCTAAAATAAGTCTTTTTCTCTTCTGTATTAAATAAAAAACAAAAAGCACATGTATAGTTTATCAAATTAATCCATTAAAAAAGAAAAATAACAAAATTACTTAGGGATCGTTTGTTTACCTCTTAATTTCAGATTCAGAGCGTTTGTTTGCGTATTATATTTTACCTCTTAAACTTAAAAATACCTCTTATTTTTTCAGATGTTAAACCAAGTCTGAAAAATAAAGAAACACGTGTTCGTTCTATTTGCCTTAAATCGACGGCCTCCTTTCTTTCCTTCCTACAGCGTCTACTGCCATCGCATCTTCTCCCCTCCAGGTCCGACGCCTGCAACTGCTCCCACCGACGACGCCAACGACGCCGCACACCGACGACGCCAGCAACGCCGTCAGCCTCCGCCGCCGCAAGGTCTTCCAGCTCCAATCTTTCTTCCGCCGACTGCAGCAGGTTCGGTTTCTTCCTTCTGTTTCTTCCTTTTTTGCCCTTGAATTCGTTGGTCTTGTTTGTTCCTTCTTTCCCTTCAAAATTGAAAATCAAAAATCGAATTTATTATGCTATAATTTTCTGATTTGTTAAATCAAAATTAATAGTTGATGTTTTGCTAGATTTTGATGTTATATTCTCCATTATGATGTTATATGCTCGATAGTGATGTTATATGTTACAATCTGAATGTGTTCAATGGATATGATCAAATATTGATGCTGAATTTTGATGTTATGTTTGATTCAATGTTGACGCTGAATTTTGATGTTATATGCTGAATTTTGATGTTATATGCTGAATTTTGGTGTTATTTTGATGTTATGTCTAATGTTTTCATGAGTATTATGCTGAAATTTTGTTGTTGAATTCTTACTTCTCTTTGATGTTCATGAAATATCCATTGCTTTTGCTATTGTGCATTTGTTTTGTTGAAGTAGTTGTTGATAATGTGCCTTTATATTGCTTAAATTGTTATTGAAAATGTGTATTTGCAATGCTTAACTTGTTGCTAAAACATACATTTTTTTGTTGAATTGATCAAAGAAATGGGAGAAAAGAATGATAGGATTAGTTGGAAGGTTGAAGGTGTAGAGAAAACGTTTCTAGAAGCTTGTTTACGTGAAGTTACGGTTAATGGACGGGAAGGGAGTAGTTTGAAAGCACTATCTTGGAGGAATGTTGCTGAAACATTAAAAATTGAACATAACTTTATTGCCGACCAAAAACAAATGAAGAACCGCTATGACTACCTAAAGTCAAAGTTTGGTGCTTTTTTGAAGTTAAAAAACAAAACCGGCAATGTGTACAATGCAACAACCAACACCTTCAATCTTTCCAAAGAAGAATGAGAACTAGAATCGAAGGTATTTTGTTTAGTTATAAAAAATATATTATCATTTTTAAATAATAAAATATTTGTTCCAAACAGTCAAACAAACATGTGGATTCTTTGAGACGCACGCCACTACCGTACCCCGACCTTTGCACACAGTTGTTTGAAGGCGCGACTGCGACATGCATTCATAGTTGGGGGCCAACTTCTACCCTTCCCCGTCCTACTCAAGAGTCAAGCCAGTATAGTTTGCATGACTTTCATGACATTGATTGCACTCAATAAGAAACTGTAGGTCTCAGTGACGAGTCATCCGCTCAATCAAAAAAACAAAAGACTACAGATACGGCAAAGAGTCAAAATAAAAGTAAAGATAAGGGTAAAGATGCATCCAATTCAAGATTGCTTGAAATCGGGGAAGATATTGCCACAGTTGCTAAAATATTTGTGGACAAGCATTCTTCTTCAAATTTGGATGCGTGTATGGAAAAATTTGAGAAGTTAGGATGGGGAATATTTGATCCAAGATACACTACTGTTGTTGCTCTTTTTGGTGAAGGTGCGGATAAGAGGCACGTGTGGTTAACCATTGATCCAGCTATTTGTGAGAATTGGGTCAAGACTGTTGGAGCATATTATGGAATGTTTCGCTAAGTAGATTTTTTGAATGTTTTGATGGTTTTTTTGGATAAGTTTGGTTTGAACTAGGTGGTTTTTTTTGGATTACTTGATGTTTGGTTTGAACTAGATGGTTTTTTTTGGATTACTTGACATGAATGACTTGATGTTTTGGATTACTTGATGTTTTGGATTACTAGATTTTTATATGATATGAATGACTTGATGTTTTGGATGAATTTTTATGTTATATGTTGTTAATATAATTGTTATGTATTTTCAAAATAACAGATTGCTTATGGATTCGGATGAAGAAATTGCATTTTTCATGTTACTATGTTACTATTGGTTGAATCTAGCATCCAACAGAATTGGAAGGGCAATTGATAATGATTCGGAAATGAGCGGTCATCAACATACACAAGAATTGTTACATAGAACTTCTACACAATGTCATGAGCTGATGCGTCTTTCACGTGAAGCATATGTACTTTTATGCAATCATTTTAGACGAAACAATTGGTTGCAAAGTAGTAGGCATATAAGCGTTGAAGAAAAGATGGCTATGTTCTTGACAACTATAGCACATAATAAACAGTTCAGGATTATCAAACGAAGGTTTCAACACTCCACAGAAACAGTTCATAGATGCTTTCATGAGGTGCTAAATGCAATGATGATTTTTGCAAAAGAAGTTATAGTGCCAACGAATTCTAATGCAACCGTGAATTCCTCAGAGAGGCATCGTAAGCTAAAAGAAATCTTTCCTGGAGCAATAGGTGCGTTAGATGGAACTCTTGTACATGCAGTCGTGCCTGCTGATCAACAAACTCGCTATAGGGGAAGAGGAAAAGGTGAATGCTTTCAAAATGTTTTAGGAATTTGTGATTTTGATATGATATTCACATTCGTATGGGCCGGTTGGGAGGGTATAACACATGATTCGCGAGTTTT